ATGTAGATGATTTGATCATTGCGGGTGATAGTACTGAGATGATACACAAGTTCAAGGAATATTTAGCAGATTGTTTTCGGATGAAGGATTTGGGGACTCTGAAGTTCTTTCTTGGCATCGAGGTAGCACGAAGTACATCTGGAATTTTTCTCTGCCAACGAAAGTACGCTTTAGATATCATTACTGAGGCGGGGCTGTTAGGTGCCAGACCGTTGGGTGCCCCGATGGAGCCAAATCATCACTTGGCTCGTTCCCAAGCTCCTGTCCTTGCAGATCCGGAACCGTATCGACGGCTCGTAGGAAGATTGGTCTATCTCTCTATTACTCGACCTGAGCTCTCCTACGCCGTGCATACTTTGGCACAGTTTTTGAAAGAACCAAGGGAGGATCAGTGGTCTGCGGCGCTGGGGGTGGTTCGTTACTTGAAAGGGTGTCCTGGACAAGGCATTTTTCTCTCTGCAGATAGTAGCCTTCAGCTTACAAGATGGTGTGATTCAGACTGGGCAGCATGTCCTTTGACCCGACGATCGTTGACAGGCTGGTTCGTGCAACTTGGGGAATCGCCGGTTTCGTGAAAAAACAAAGAAGCAGACAACGGTGGCTCGTTCGTCTGCTGAGGCAGAGTACAGGGCTCTCGCGGTTCTTACCTGTGAGCTGAAGTGGTTGAAGAATTTGTTGAGATGCTTGGGGGTTGATCATAGGAATCCTATGATCGTACATTGTGACAGCACCGCGACACTTCATATTGCTGCTTATCCGGTTTTTCACGAACGAACGAAGCATATTGAGATTGATTGTCATTTTGTTCGTGATGAGCTTTTACGAGGATAAATTCGTGCCCTTCATGTGCCTACTACGCATCAGCTTGCAGATATTCACACGAAGGCACTTGGAAAGTCACGCCTGGAGTTTCTTATTCCCAAGTTGGGCATTTCAGCATTACATGCTCCAACTTGAGGTGGAGTGTAAAGAAGGAAAGAGAATATTTAGCATTTATTTCCGTATAATTTAGTTATGGTAGTTGACTTTGTATAGAGATTCCTTTTCCTTTGTTAATTAGGACTCTTTGCTATATATACGTCTGGATTGTAAATTGTAAAACACAGAAAGGAATACAAAGATTTTCATTCCGAAACAATTCTTTCATTAGTGCAACTATTTCTTTACCAAACTATACATCTATACTTTGAAGAATGAATTTTATGTCTAATTTTCCTTTGTTAAAATATAAAATTACAATTATAATATGTGAAAAAATACATTGAGAATAACGTTAGAGATTAGCGTTTGTGTTAAATATATCAATTATTTAATATATTTAATATTTAATATTATAATTATGGTTGTTATGTAACACCCTAATCCGTCCAGGTCTGCAGCCCCTTCCGGACTAAAGTATTAACTTGGTAATCGTAAAAATTTAAAACTTTTCAAACACACTTTATTAATCCCAATAATTTTTCATAACATATACAGTACGGAGTATTCAACAATATTGCGGAAGCGATTTAATTTTGACTTATCATAAATCATTTCAAACTTGTCACATCCATCCCGACAATCTCGCCCCATCTGCCGCCAGGATCACATTGTGCTTTCTGCTTACCTGCGTGTAGCAAATAAAACACACTACACGCTCAGCGGTAAAGCTGAGTAAGCATATCTAATGTAACGACCCGAAATCCGGCTTCGTAGTTATCCGTAATTTTAATAAAAATAAATATAATATTTATTTACTCTAAAATATGAATTATTTGTAAAGTTGTCCATTTTAAATAAAAATTGGGTTTTCGGATAGATCTCGAAGAATGGTAACCAACGGTATATAGTTTGTTTGATTTGGACTTATGTATAAAGCGTGGTGAGTAAAATAGATATTACAGTTCAATAAGTAAATATAAGAATATAATAATAAAATAATATACACACTACTCCGTATAATGCTTAAACCTACTTCTACCCACGGTATGAAACCAAAACCCTCCCCTCCCTTATATTATATATACACGCAACACAAACCCACGAAAGTACTGCGCACGATTCTAGAGAGGAGATCAGAACACAGCCGCAGAACGGAACCGGAGCACGACGCGATCGCCGCTGCCCGTGGTCGCCAAGGAACGAACGGCCGCCGCTGTTCGTCTTCTCCGTCTGTCTATTTCGTTAACCCGTCAAATAATCGAGGTCAGAACTTGCACATCTAACGCTAGATTATGTATATAGATTTGAAATTCACGTTCGTAATTTCGTGTAATTGATTACGTGGTTTATTTAGTTATAATTGAATTATGCTTTATCTATAATATATGATAATATTGGAATTGATTGAACAAGGATGACCAGGTACGTTTCTTACTCTAAATTGTGTGATTTGCATGACGGTAAGTTGAAAGTGTTTACACCCAACACTAGGCCGCTATCTATTTGTTGACTATGAATGTTGTTTAACATATTGTGTTCTTGTATGAATTTGGAAATATGGAATTATGAACTCGAATACGGATAGGCTACCTAGATGAATCATACGTAGACTGAGAAAACAGAATAAAGAATACAATTAGGAATAACTGGTCATGTGATGAGCCGGCGTGCACGCATGATCAGTTGGGTAGAGCGTGCGCACGGGGGTCGTAGATCTGCTCATGGATGTGAGTAGGTGGTCCCACCCAGCCGACGTTGGATGACGTCGTACCGAGCGGGTTCTTCCATGGATGTGGTTTAATCAGGACTCTAGAATAAAGTAGTTGGCCTTAGCCTAGGATAGGTTATGAGCTTAGAGATAAAGAAGTGGATTATGGGATAAGTTTGTTAATTATGGTAATTATGTTTCATTGATGAATTATTTGATATTAATGATGTTATTGATGTGTACTTGTGTGCATGATATTGTATGAAGTTATGAGCTAGTGGGTTCGTTTATGTACGTAGTTGAAACATTAGATAGATTCCACTCAGCTTCAATGCTGAGCGTGTAGCCCTTTTTCCTATTTGCTACACGTAGGTAACAGGAATGATGAATAAAGAACTATCCTGGAGGGCAGCGAGGGCAGAGAGATGGATGGATGCTGCCTGGAGGAGTTTATTATTTAATACTTAAGTTTGAATTAATTATGTTTTTAAGGGCAAGAACCCAAAGTTGTATTTTGATTAAATACTTAAAGGCTTCCGCACCGTTTTACTTACTCCGATGAATATTTATAAATGTTGTTTTTGAATTAAATGTTTTAAATGTTCTGAAAATTATTGTGTCTGAATGCCAATCTAGTAGCAACCCGATCCGCTGGTCATTGTATTCGGGTCACGCGGGTTGGGGTGTTACATCTAATGCGTCGAACATCCATATAAACTGAATCTAAATTCATAATCAAATCATTTGATATCATGCACACAATGTTCATTTCAGACATTCACAGTTTTGGTATTATTCAGTTCATATCAACACATTTTATTCAATTCAGATATTAATCCAATAGTGCTCTTAAATTATTCTTAATCTAAGGCCAGATCATAACAACGCTCTTAGCTATTCTTAGTCTAAGGCCAGATCATAACAACGCTCTTAG